AATGATGACAGCCAGCATAGTGCATGATGGTCGGTGACTACGTCGAAGGGGCGACCATACAAATAAGGTCGAAACTTTGTAAGGGTCCAGACGACCACCAGGCGCTCTTTCTTCGTGATGGTGTGGTTTGTCTCGGCTCTCGTTAGCGTACGGCTTGCATATGTTACGACATATTCAGGGAATCCGGGTTTGCGCTGCGCCAGGACAGTGCCGAGGCCTAGACCGCTGGGGTCCATATGCACCTCTGTTGGGGCCGTAGGGCTGTAATGGCGTAGAATGGGAGGAGATGTAAACAAATGGCAGAGCTATGCGAACGCGTCGTCGCACTCGGATGACCACGAATTGAGGGGCCCGTTACTTTCAAGGAGCTTCGTCAGCGGTAATATGATCGTGGCAAAGTTTCGTATGAAGTGTTGGAAGTATGAGCACAGGCCCACGAAACTACACAGCTCTTTGACGGACGCAGGTTTGGGGAATTCGGCCACGGCCCGAAGCATGGCCGGATCAAGAAGAATGCCGTCCTTGGACACGACGTACCCTAGGATGGTGAGTTGCCGTGCTGCAAAGCGGCACTTCTTCAGATTTAGTTGCAAGCCGGCATTGCTCACACGTGCGAAAACTTCTTTCAGACATTGAAGATGCGTGCAGAAATCCGGAGCGAAGACAATGACATCGTGGAGGTAACACAAGCACATGTACCATTTCAAGTTGTGCAGAACGGTGTCCATCATGCGCTTAAAGGTCGCAGGTGCATTACATAGACCAAACGGCATGACGTTAGACTCGTACAAGCCGTCGGGCGTGACGAAGGCGGTCTTCGGTCGAGCATCGTCAGCCATGGGTACTTGCCAGTACCCCGAGCGCAGGTCGAGAGAAGAAAAAAAATCGGCTCCGTGAAGGCTGTCAATCGCATCATCGATGCACGGTAGTGGACAAACATCCTTGCGAGTGATTTTATTGAGCCGTTTGTAGTCCACACAAAACCGCACAGAACCATCTTTCTTCGTAACAAGAACAACAGGAGACACCCATGGACTGTCCGAGGGCCGAATAACGTCGCCTCGGAGCATATCGTCAACCTGCTCGTTAATTACCCGACGTTCAGCAGGCGACACGCGATAAGGACATTGCCGTAAAAGTAGATGGGCACCAGTGTAGATGCGATGCGTAACAGCGGCCGTGCGACCGAGAGAACTTCGCTCGACATCAAAAGAGCGATATTCTTGCAACAGGTCCAGAAGCTGGGAACGCTGTACCGTCGTAAGGTTGTCAGCAATGGAGGGGCCAAATACATCAGCGAATGACGGATCAGAAGTGGAAACAGCATTGATGCGAACTGGGACAACGCGAGTCATTGGGTACGTCCAGGACTTGTGCGTCGTAGACTGTTTCCACTCTGCCGAGACATTCCCCTCGAAGCAAGGTAACAGTGTACGGAAATGGGTTGGTAACAAAAATAGCGGCGTTGCCCTGGGTGACCTTGCAGTGACTGTGCAGCGTCTTTCATGACCGTGCAGTGACTGCACGGTTGTGAAATGTACTAGCAACTCTTTCCTGCTACAAGCGTAGTTGGATGACGAAACGAGTGTAATTGTGTCGGAGAGGCCAGCGCAGTAGACCGACACAGCCGTCGTCGAGTTTGGAGGCACTGTTGTATCGTCTTTCATGAGAATCTTGCTCAGTGTCGAGAGACTGTCTTTTGGCGTCAAATGTGAGAAAAGTGAGAGTTCAATTTCGGGGGAGGCACAATGGATGACGGCGTCATGGCAGGAGAGAAAGTCATATCCCAGGATGACGTCATGAGAGCATGTCAGAATGATCATGAAATGGGCGACATACAGAACGCCCTGAATGACAACGCGAGCTGTGCACCCTGCTGTAGGATGAATACAATGCAAACTATCAGTACGGAGGGACAACCCAGAAAGTGGCGTCGTCACTTTTCGAAGTCAGCGGCAAAGTTTTTCATCCAAAACTGATACGGCAGCTCCAGTGTCAATACAAGACGATGCACAAACACCGTCCACAAGCACATCAATGACATTCGAGGAGCTGCTCTGAGGGCTTTCACATTGCGATAGCGTCGCAGTCCTTGCCTCGGGGACTGCCAGGACTAGTTTTCCCCCTCATGAGCAGCTGTACTTGGCGGCATGGGGGACAGGGAACGACGTCGTGGAGACGGCGACCTTCGAGGAGATGGACCTGGGCGAGATGGCGGTGGCACAGACGGCGGTTCGTCGTAATAGGGACGGCTGAGCTGGTCAACAACAGGCGAAAAAATGGGAGCTGGCTGTATGGGAGGGCAATAACGTGCTAACCGGCGTAACCGTAGGCAAACCAGATGAGCCGGTTGTCCGGTGTGCGCCATCGGTTCGCCGGGGTAGGTCTCACCCATGTTGCAAGAGCCGATGGATGGAACGGTGGCTGGAAAGGCTGCATGGTGGGCTGAAGCTGAGGGGTTGCGTCAACATACGTAGCGGGCATATGTAGCGGGCAATATGTTTATTAGCTCGGATTCCAATACTTCGAGACTTGGAATAATTTCAAACTTGAGTTGAAATTCAAGTACTGTATTATTCGTTTAAATATTTGAAGTACTCGAATATTCGCCCATTTCTACAAAAGACGATACAAGAACACAACATAAACCAAGCCTTGCTTGACTTCTCTAGAGACGATTCTACAAATGCACACCCACAAAAGAATATTCGACAAACATGCTACTCTAGGGCGACCACTGAGACCAGCGATAAGTGGACGCGGTCCACGAGGAGCACTGCGCATCACAGCCATAGCCAGCATCATGCGGGCACCACATGCCATTCTTTAGCAGTAAGGTTACAAAAACATGCTTGTAGCCCTTTGCACTGACAGATGTTTTAATATATACATACATCTTACCTGCTTAAAAGGAACACTGAAGAGCGACAATGACTTGGTTTAGATTGATAAACTGCACTCTCAGAAATCTAATGTTATAGTTATCACTGTCATAAGGTCATTATTAGAGGAGAAAATCAAGGTTGAAGTCTCTATGCATGATGTAGCAAATTTCAAAATGTATTTTTCATACTTTTGCAATATTGGCTCTGAAATTTTCTGAAACTTCGTATGCTAGGTCTAGGACAGGGGTTCTCAAAGCGAGTTCCGTAGAACCTAAGAGTACCGCAGGCCCCTCCTCAAGGTTCTGCGAGCCACTGATAAATTTTCCCTGGTTCTCCACTTGCTCTCTCAAATGGCAATCCCGAGGTGTGATCCATCTAAGGAACCTCTATTACTAACGCTCGGGCGTCAATAAGCACATCTCCGTGGATAACACAAACATGCGAGCTGCACAATAAATCCCGCTAGCAGTTTGTACCCAGCCATACTCTGAAATAAGACGCACAGTGGATTAAATCTCGGGGGGGGGGGGGGGGGGGGGGGTTATACTATTGACTTGCGCATTTCAACTATTTGCAGATAGGTGCTGCTAGCATACGTAGAAAGTTGGAAGCTTTAATAAAGAAGAAAAAAAGCTCGCCGGGATGGAGGGGGGGGGGGGGGATTCCTTCTTAGCAGGGTTCCCTGGCACTAACACGCTTGAGAACCCCTACTCTTGGACACCCACTGAAGACAACGTACCTAACTTCACTTTTATCGAGTAGAAGCTAGGTAGGACCCAGTAGACACCTTCAAAATTTATAACAGGGTACATGGTGCAAGAATCTCACCATCTCCACCAACATTTTCTTTTCGCGCAATTTCTCACTTACAAAGCGTCATGCCACGATAAGAGTGCTGTTTTCGGCATTGTGAAATTGCGCTTTCTTAATATGTGAAAAATAGTTTTGCTTTTTAGTGCACCCTAAAACAAACAACTTCATTATTAATTATTACCTCGACACCAGAAGAGCAAAATGCTTCTGCACAGAAGCTCAGTCTAAGCTTGTCAAAGCAAGTCAGCCTGGGGTTCTACGAATAGTAATAAACATTCACTTGGGCATTTTCAAGTGCTCTCCTTGCTGCGCGTTAACATTTTCAAGTGAAGTCTAAGCATGATCCAAGTAACATGTCTTCATTTGGGGGAAAACCAGGTGTTTTTGGTCTGACTACATACAGAGAATTCATTATTTTACAGAAACTGAGACAATCTAGAAGGTGGACTTACTTTATTTATTCCTTTGCCAAGTCACAGAGCAGAGGGAATGGGAACAAATAGCTCAGGACTACTTGACTAAGCTTCCCAGCCTGTTATAGCATCATGTAGTGATGGCAGTAGACACATTTTGTGCAAGAAATGGAAGCTAAGATGAAAACATTCTTCATTGAAAGACATGGCAAAAGGTTAAAATGAGAATAACTAAGATCAGACACAGATGGAGTGCCAAATCACAACAACGATAGCGAGTTGGCGATCTAACCTTGTGCCAAGACTTTCAAGTAATGATGTGCCAACTGGCCCAACATATTGTACTGTTGAAACACTCATCATATTCACCTTATCATTAAAATTTGTAACAAAATAAGCACTCAAGAAACTTCATCCAGGCCACTCCACATTTGATATTAATGATCTGAGCCTCATCAGAGAAACACTTGAAGCTCAGACTTACAGCATACGTCAATGTCAACATCGTTTCCTGCTGAAAATTTTAAAAGAGAAGGTAGGCTAATTCTTAACATTTGGGTGTCGTAATTTGTGTGTCAGGATACTACTCTAAATTTTCCCGTTAGCCAAAAAGGGCACATGTAAACACATTTGGCTAGTTCTGCTATTTCATTAAGCATTGATATAATATCTTTATTTCATATCTACAATGATTAAATCAGTACACTTTATACATGTATAAATTATGCCTCCCTATACACCTAGTTATACTTCTTTGTAGAAAGTTATTTTGTAGTCCCTTTTGTTTTTTCCCTTTGCCAAATGTACGACAGTGAAAATTTAGGCCAGTGGTTAGATGGGATGCGACACCGAACTGAGGGGTTTTCTTTTTAACATGAGCAATACTTGCCTTGCCCTTGCGTTCCTGGGGCATGCGGTATCGCTGCACTTTTTCCAGCTCTCGTGCACGGTCATGTTCTTTGGCCAACTGCAGAACCTTTTGTTTGTACTCCAACTCCTTACGTTCACGACTGGTCAATCTGCAAAAAATGTGCACACAGTCAGACCCTTCAATGACACCATATTTCTAGAACTCCTGATTTTAATAAATTGGGGATATCTATATGATGTCCATCACTGTCATATCATCAGTCTAACTACACCTACAGCAAAGCAAAGGCCTCTCCCATGTACCGCCAATCAACCCAGTCCTGCGGCTTTCTGCTACCATGTTATACCTGCAAACTGCTTAATCTCATCTTAATTTTCTGTCTCCCTTTCACGTGTTTGATTACTCTGGGAATCCAGTCACTTATCTTTAATGACTAGCGGTTATCATGCCTATGCGCTACGTGCCCGGCCTATGTTCATTTCTTTTTCTGGGTTTCAACTATGACATCCTTAACCCCCGGTTTATTCCCTGACCCACTCTGCCCTCTTCTTGTCTCTTAAGGTTACACCTATCATTCTCTTTTCTATCGCTCACTGCGTCGTCTTCAGTTTAAGTTCAACCCTCTTTGTAAGCCTCCAGGTTTCGGCTCCATAGGTAAGTACCAGAAATGCAGCTGTTACATACCTTCCCCTAAGGGTCAGTGGCAGATTACTATTCATGATTTCAGAATGCTCACCAAACGTGATCCACCCCTCCTTATTCTTCTAGTTACTTCAATCTCGTGGTACGGCCCCACGGTTACCAGCTGTCTTAACTAGACGTATTCCTTTACAATTTCCAGTGTCTGGCCACCTTCCGCAAAGCACCGTTCTCTGCCAAGACTGTGGCACATTACAGTAGACTACTGTTAACCGAAACTTGAAGAGACCAGAAAAATGTGTTCCATTTAACTCTTTCATTACCACACCTATTTGAATCGATCACTGGTGGTCGACACTTTGGTTCGTCAATTTCTGCATGCTAAATTTGTTTCTACTGCACCCAGGACTTCCTAGTAGTCAGTCCAGCCACTCAACTTTCACAATCAATTTGTATTTGCCTCTTTTGACAACATAGTGATTTTTGAAAGACCTTTGCGTGAACCAATGTGTATGTTTTGTTGGAAAAATGCACTAGGCTGGCAAACTTGACTAAAAAGCATGTCCCTCATTTTGGCGCTACAGTAACATCAAAGTTCTGCAATCAAAAGAACCTTTGCAAGCCAAATATTGAATTAAAGCATTCGCTTCGTAATTTGACAGTGTTAAGCAGCAATATTTGCCAGAAATTTGTGCCAGCTATGCAATCGAGAGCTGTTGCTGGGAGTCAGGAAAAAATTTATCCCACAAAAAAATATTTCAGAAGGTCTGCCGCATGTTTAAAGTGTTGGGGTGGCCTTCTCAGCCAATTTCCAGCAGCTTCTGTTTTGATTATATTGTTATACAAGACACAGGGCCGCATAGAGTGTCACTAGTCGCTCCTATGACATCATCGTCCCACGTGCATGGGTGTGCACCATCCCTGCAGAACACGCACACTGCTCGAAACAGTCTAGCACCCCACCTCAGCTTCAAGTTTTGTGGCAACGATGGTTTGCATCAGCCTGAGACATCCGCAGCCGTTCATGGGTTTCTTTTGTTTACGGCCTCAAGTTGTTTTCGCCGCCACAAGTGCATAGCTATTGACTTTTGTGCACAATCTTATAGTAGCTACTCTGGTTTCGTGTGAGGTCTACACTTTGCTGAGGCACGGTGTGCTGCTGCCGGCTGCAGAGCTTCTCCTAATGACAAGAAGACCACCGGAGCACATCCTGGCCCTGACCACGAAGCAGCACGAAACGTTATAGAACTTCGCGCGATATAGTTTTTTTTTTTTTTAACACAATGTGCAAAATGCTAAGACATATGCTTGGATTCATATATAGGAATGCCAACCTATGCAGAGTGAGGTGGCTTATGGAAAGTGGTGACACTAGATTAAATTGCAAAGTTCATTGGACATCTCATTTATAGAGCGATAATTCACATCATCGGTATCCATCTATACTGGAACACCTGAAGACTTATCGCAAGCCAACAAAAGTGTACGAGTTCACTTGTGTCTCACCAAAAACTATGCAATGCTTCACCGCATGGCCCGAGCAATGAAGCAGTACCTCGGTTCCGATTTCCTTTGTCTATGGGAACAGAAACATTGTTCGAGGTATAGTGCATTCAGGACGGGACAGAGAAGAAAACACAGAACACATACACGGTGCTAACTTTCAACAATGTGGTTTAATCCGAGAAAAAGCAATACTTATACCCAAACATGGCGCGTCACAACCACGTGCTAGAACCATAAAACTGATCTACTGTAACTCGTGCGACATCCAAATAATGCAATTCTTTCAATGATAATGATATCGATGGCTTGCTTATAAACGCGTCCCCAAACTTAGCAATGAATTTTGCTTCTATGATGAGCCTTGTCATTTGGTTAGTGGTTCTTCCGATTAGGCTGGTGCGATTAAAGAGGTGTTGGCACCCGCATTCTTTGCAGTGAATTGCAAGAAAACCCTCAGGCTGTGCCTTGGCCACGTTCTTGTGTTCATTCAGCCTATCATTGATGCATCTACCAGTTTGACCTATATAGCATGCATCACACGCTAATGGGATCCGGTAGATGACTCCTGTGATGCACGCGACAAACCTAATACGGTGGTTCTTTTCGCACAGACCTTTCTCTGGGCGCTCCGGTTTCGTCTTTCGGCAAAGACTGTCTAGCTGGATAGGTGCCGAAAAAAATACTCGCACGTTGCAATGTTCTGCTAATTTTTTCAGGTTATGTGAAACACCATGAATATATGGGATTACAGCTAATCCTTTCCTTGCAGGCGTAGCACGCGTTTCCGCGGCTCCGTCGGAGCGGATTTGCCTCAGAAGGCTTTCCGCAACAGATGTCAGGACGTGTTGTGGGTACCCCAAGTCAGCTAAACATTTTGTTTGCTCTCTCATGCTTAAAGGCAAACAATGCTGGCAGGACTTCTTCAAGGTGTTAGTAAGGCACATCTTAACAATCCCTCGCTTGACGAGCTTGGAGTGCGCCGAGTTATATGAAAGTATAGGTTTGTTAGCACGAGGGTGATAATACCAGCATGTCTGATCATCATTAAAAACAAATCGGACATCTAAAAACCGAAGCACATTGTCACATGGCATTTCAAAGGACACTTCGAGGGGTTCAAGGCTCCTTTGAACAGCGACTTCAATGCTGGAACACACTTCCTCAAACTGTTCGGTTGAGCTGTCAACAAATAAAATAAAATCGTCTACAAAACGAAAAATTTTTAGAACATTTGACCCTTGTAGTACATCGTTGAGGTCTTTGTCTAACTTAGCTAAGTACAAATTGCTCGAAACCGGAGCGAGACAGGAACCAATACACACACCATCATTCTGAAGATATGCTGATCCTTTCCAAGTAATGAAAGTAGACGACAGGTAAAAACTAAGAAGCTCAATGAAGCTCGCTGCTGAAACACCTACTTCATTCTGAAATTTGACAGTTCCAAATTCTTCAATGGATTTGTGAATGCACGTCATTACTTGGGAGTGGGGCAGTGAATAATAAAGGTCCTTTATATCTGCCGATAAAGCTTGTATTCTTTCATCAGCTAGCTGACCAACAAATTCTAATATCTGTTCAGAATTTACAACAAGAAAAGGGTCGTTGATGGGCAGAATGTTAAGCTTATCCATTAAAAATGATGCCATGCACTTTTGCCAAGTATCCCTTTCTGATTGATAACCCTTAACGGGACGTCAACTTTATGTGTCTTCGCGCTAAAAAACACGTCGAGGCTAAGCTTCTTTGTCTTTTCAACGCTTTTTTGCAAGCCTGTTAAGTTCATCTGCTTGCATAACTTTATAGCCTTTGCTCGAACCTTATTGAGCGAAACACGAGAATGTTCACTGAAAACTGATTTGATGGCGTCACTTGCCTTTTTGTCAAATGATTGGTGTGAAAGAACGGTAAAACCACCTTCCTTGTCTGCGGGAACGACACATAACGAATTCTCTCTCCTTCCTGCTTCCCACTCTCCCGTCCGCTCTCTCGTACATATATATATAAATGAAGTGAAGAGCACGCCTCACTCTCAGTTGTTCGCAGGCTGATTGTGTAAATAAATGGTTACGGTAAAAACGTTCGTCTCATCATTATTTACGCCATTAAAATTACTACGCTGGGTACTCTCGATGCAAGAAATGCATTCACATTTCCTCACGATTCTCTTCGGGGAGGTGGGGGCAATTTTTTCATTTCTTTTTTTTTTCACTTCAGTTAATGTAAGAGGGCGTTCAATTGCAACCGTGCAAACACGGCACTGAACTACTAATCCCGACCAAGTTCGGGTGGGCCTATTATGGGCAAAATAAAAAAACCAACAGATTTTTCGCGATCAAGGGGAGGGGGGGTAAGCATCTATTATGCGAGTAAATATAGTATATGTGCATTTAAATGTGGAATCAACAGTCAGCGCCACAAGTAGCCATTAGGACGAGTGTAGAACACTCTTGTTTTGCCTGTTGCCATCACGTAGCATGTAATCTTATAACAAGCTGGCAGCAAACCAATAATCCCTCACATAATACCTAAAGGCATTAGGTCTCCCAGAACGAGATCCTTGCTATGAACCAAAGAAAGAAGTGTAAATTTAGGTTATAGTATTTTCATCCACTTTAGCTTGTTCACATTTACATTACAATTATTTCTAATATCATCTCCGATGTTTTTTTTGGCATCACTGTGGTTAGTTATCACAAATATTATATCTAAAAAAGGAAAAGAGCACTTGAATTTTCTTTTTTTTCCTACTCCATTTAGTGTTTTCAAGTACATGACTCTCATTAAATGGAACCTGAAGGTACCGGGAAAATACGTTCCATGTAACAGGAGTTCCGCTTTCACAGAGGTGAACTGGGTTACAGAATTTCAAGTATGCAACCAATCATATGAGAGGCAGTTGTTCCATTTAAGAAGCAGTTCTGTTCAATGAATTTTCATTTACTCAGAGTCCACTGTACTAGTACTAACATATTTGGATACCCTTGGCATGTTAGCTTGTTTTTTCTGGGGGCCTTCTGATAAGCCGAATCCCTGATAAGACAAACTATTAACCATGGTGTCCTTTTGAGTTTCTCTACGGTATAGGTGACACTCTTTGCTCTAACTATTAGATCACACACCTGCAATAAAAACAGGTGCGGACAGGAAGGTACATACTTTACATCTGAGAAGAGAAACTGTTCATCATGAATGTCGGCTTCCAGCTCGACCAGTTTGTCTTCTTTCCGCTTCTCCAGATACTGGCGTCGTGACTCGACTCGCAGCTTAGGCAGAAGTCGCTGTCGGTCCTCGGCCTCTAGTTTCAGTCGCTTGGCCGCCTCCTCAAATGCCTGTACATGCAAGGAGCACCAAACTTGTGTTATCCTTCAGGTTCTGCTGCTACACACATTAACAGTAGCAACTAGCACAAAATCTGTCCCAGCAAGATAAAACGCTGCAAGTACCAACACATGCTCTCATGCATATACTGTATTCCAAACCAATTGTTTCTCAAATATTGCCTCCACTAGTTAAACTAACCAAAGCTGATGTCACTGAAGGCTGAGCACACTTTTTATCATGGGCATTTGCCGACCAAAACTGGTGTTCTGTAAGCGTCAACTTATTAAATACCATACATTATCATACAAAAGGGCTCTAAGATTTGCCTTCATAAATAGATTCAGTAAAAATATTTCCATAGATTGTACAATCTGAAAAATGCAAGAAAGCAAAAGTGAGAATGAAAGTGGTCAGCATTTTACGTACTTTCTTGTCAGAGCGCTCTACTATCTTGCGCGTCTTCTCCTTGTCTCGGTCACGTAGCCGGGCTGCAAACTCGTCCCGCTCTTTGATGTCTCGTAACCGTTCATCCTCCGGATCAGAGTCCCAGTTTGGCTCCGGCTTCACCTTCACACCTGCACTGGTTCCACCACTGCTGGTGGTAGGCCTGCACCAGAAAGTTGACAATAAAATTGCTACTGCAAAGTGGAATGCATGAGTGTGCGTTTATGCACAGTTCAACTGCACAGCAACAAACAGTTTCACACCAGCGGAGATGTGAGGTGTAAGAGTCAACATTGACTGGGTTGATGCACCATGTTTCTGCAGAATGTTTGACGAAGAAACTGCTGAGATGTAAACGCAAGACAGGAGTGAACATGTGTGTCTCTTCTAACGTCTGTCTGCAAAAAGTTTGTACGTTAAACACTCTCCGCTAGAGTACATCGTTGTGTACATCGTCATAAAAGATGTAGGCACAATAAGGCACAGCGAAATACTGCTTGAATGAATGTAAGCTAAACAAACTACAATTCAGTGGTACAAACTTTTTTTTAAATATTTTATAGACATGCCATTTACATCAACAGTAACTACCATAAAATCTTGAGCAAGCGACGCTACCCAAACAAGCATCGCCATCTCCTCTTCAAGAAGATTTGAAATGTGACCTTGTGAGTCGTGACCAAACAAGCTGTTTTCCAAAACAGAATCCTACAGCACAGGTTCCTAAGAACCAAGTTCTGACAGCCTTTACATATGTACATGATTTCTTTGTACCTTTGCAGTGTATGCGTCGAGGTTCCCCTCAGAGTTGTCACAAATCGTTGGAAGATTTAGAGAAAGTCTTCTACCCTAGTCATAACACATGAAATTTAACACAAGCATTCCCTCTGGCTAGGGCACCGGTAGGACAAATTCTAAGAAAAAAAAATCACTTTTTCATTCTTTGCGATTTAGAAAAGGTGTCCCTTTGTGCATGTGTTTCACATTCGTGCTTTGCTTAGGGTATTTTTTGAGGCCGAAAACCAGTTTATCGAAAAGCAAGTAGTGACTGAAAATTCATCCTAGAGCAAGCCTCCTCAAATGCGGTCTGTGCTTATAGTACATTTTTCAAAACCATAGTTTGTGCACAAAAACCAAAATGCTTGTCTAGAGTCAGTTGTGTATAGGTAACTGTCGGGTAACTTCTAAGGCAGTCTGAAGACACTGCGCCTTTATAGTAGCACTTGGCTTTTAGAGTGCATCAGTTCGAACAATTTCAGCTCCTGGCTTCATCACACCTTGTGCTTCATGACAAGTTTAGATGCTGAGGGTAAAGAAGGTTTTCAGCAAATGTGAATTCCATAGCAACCAATACAGTTTTATCGTAAATTTGAATAAATGGCGATGCTGAACTGAGGCGGTGAACACTGAACCATGAGCAAGCTCTTGATTGTTGAACGTAAAAGCCTTTTTTAGCGTCCTTTGAGGTGACTAACATGCAGGGTGACAGCGAATATGCTCATGGTTATGAATATTATTTGTGATGCAATTTGACCGATTAGAGTCCAAACTGCCTGGTGCAAATGTTGAGCGAACGGAAATTGCAGCACAGAGTCTCTGCTGTCCTTGTATAGGTTCAGAGTCTTAAGGATTATGACACTGGATGTTCCTTCTTTTGATAAAGGCTGCATAACACAAGCCCAAATTCTGAAATTGTCAAGATTGAAGCCTGGCCAAAACTGTAGTTAACTGGTTGAAAAACTTTCACCAAAATAGATAATACATTGCAGATAGAGCTGCACGACAGCTCACAAAAGAACCAAAGCAGGCGATACGAGAGGCTCCGAAGTGAAAAATTGACTTTGGCAAAGATTATCAAGCTCCTAGCTACTAAATAAAATAGTTGAACTGCGCTTGTGACAAGGTATGTCCACTGTTCAGCTGTTTCTAAGTTCGAACTCGATTATCTCAAAACCATGTTTTTACATTATATAGGTAACATTACTTCTTATGTATTCCAAGATAACCAGCTGATTATATATTTTTGTATTCTACACAATTGCATGCAGCCACTGAAACAGAATTGAAATTATGCACTTGGCAGTCTTATGTTACAAGTTTTCTTAGATGTAAATTAATTCAAAATTTATGTCCTAGTAATAAAAAGTTCACAGAAATTCTAATATTAGTCATCCTTGACTAAACTTGCTTCAGTTAAAAGAGGGGTAGACTTGAAAGTAGAAATTGGCGATGATGATGTTTGGTGCTTTGTGGCGCAAGGGCCATTTGTTGGCCAAAGAGCGCCAGTTCATGGGACAAGAAATGTGCACAATGATTGTGATTAGCGGCTGTATAAGGGCCTTAAAATTCCTCGCGCCAAGGTGTATAACAAGACAGAAGTAATAAAATCATGACTATGCCGTGAAAAGTGTGTGGTGTTTACGGATGACGAAAGTTTGTGATAGTAAAAACCATGGTGGACATGTATGGCATTAGCACAAGTGCCTCGATCGTTCACACCCTCGCGTCCAAGGGCCGTGAGACAAGTGGTTTGTTCAGTGTAGCCACCGTAGCGGAGACCTCTCTGGAGAGGTCGTGGTACGAAATGCCCGGGTATATCACATGAAAGGTACGGAGTTCTCTCAGACAAGCCAACGATTTATGTGTGAAAAGTGGTTCCCTACCGACGAACATTTCCGGATGAAGTGGTATCTGTTGTCAGTAGGGTAATGGAAAGTGTTGTTTTCTCAACGTGTCTAATTGTTTACACTGGACTAAAATGTGAAGTACGGTGAGTGCTTCTCCACATCTATCACACAACGGTGGATCGCCACCAGACAAAAGAAATGAATGTGTAGTGTATGTATGTCCTGTTCTTAATCTTGTAAGTATTACTTATGTGTGGCGTGATTCTGATACTGGCAGCCAATGACCAAGTTGCGGCTTGATGACATGAAATTTATTACCTGTGTGTGTGTCCCATGTGCTCTGCCAATAACCCCTGAGCTTTTGTTTTAGAATAGGTTTCGAGCCAAGTGCAGGAATCGGTATAGATGTATTGGTAGCAATTTTGTTGGCGGATCCAGCTAGCTGGTCCACCAGAACGCCGCCTTGTATTTCGCCGTGTCCTGGCACCCAGAAGACTACAACATGCTGCTTAGATGAGTAGACTGTGCATAAGAGCGAATAAAGCGAGACAAGGACAGGGTTTTTTGTGGTTTTTAAGAGTTTTTCAGAGCTTTTACTACGCTTAGGGAATCTGTATATATTATTGCCTTCTGTAGTTTTATTTGTTTAATGCATTTAAAGGCCGCAAGTATCGCATAAGCTTCGCCAGTGAAAATGCTTGAATCAGAGAGCAGAACGCGGGCTTCCGAAAAGGATGGGCCGACAGCTACATACGAAACAGAAGTGTCGGACTTTGAAGCGTCCGTAAAGAATTCAGGAAATGTGTATTCCTGTTGTAGTTCTACAAAGTACGTCTGAATATGTGCAATTGGTGCGTGCTTCATAATCTCCAAGAAAGACACGTCGCAATCTATCGCCTGCCACAGCCACGAGGGTAGGCATACTGCGGGAGCCATCAAATGGTGTACGAGTGGCACACCGGTTTCCTTCGCTAGGCCCCTCACACGGTGTGAGTAGGGCTGTCTCATAGAAGGCCATTTCTCAAACACTGCAAGGCTTGACATGTCATTAACTGTGGAATGTGAAGGATGTTCCTTGTCTGCTTTCACTTTAAGATAACATTCAAAAGACATGTACCATCTCTGTAGGTGGAGCGACCATTCATTAGATTCCAAGTACAGGCATTCCAAGGGGCTAGTGCGAAAAGCACCCGTAGATGTATTCCTGATGATGAACAGGGTCAAGCGTTTTAAAGGCAGTAAGTGTCACAGACGGATATGCTATTGCCCCATAGTCTAGGCGGGTACATATGAGGCTTGTATACAAATTTATCAAACACTTCTTCTCACTTCCCCACGTAGAGCGTGACAACACTTTTAGAACATTCACGGCTTTTATGCACTTGTTTTTTAGATACTTGATACGTGGTATGAAGGTTAGCTTGGCGTCCAAGATTTGGCCTAAGAATTTGTGTTCAGTATTAACAGAAAGACGTTGCCCATGCAGTTGAATATAGGGTTCCGAACGAATGCCTCTCTTCCTGGAGAACAAAACACTAACTTTTCTGTAGATTCAGTCGGAACCCGTTTTCTTCTGCCCAATTGGAGACTTTGTTCAAACCAATGATGATGATGTTTGATGTTTTGTGGCGCAAGGGCCATTTCACGGCCAAAGAGCGCCAGTTAATCTTACTAAAAATATGGACAATGATTGCGATAAGTGGCTGTATAAGGGCCATAAAATTCCTCGCGGTAAGGCGGGTAAAAACATACAAGTAATAAAATCATGACCATGCCGTGAAAGGTGTGTGTGGTGAGAATAGATGACAAGAGTTGGTGATTATAAAAAACGATGGTGGATATGAATGGCAGTAGCACAAGTGCCTCACTCTTTCATACCCTTGCGTCCAAGGGCCGTGTGGCAAGTGCTTTCTTGTGTAGCCACCGCAGCTAAAACCTCTCTGGAGAGGTTGTGCTACGGAATGCCCGGGTATATGATATGAAAACTATGAATTTCTTTTAAAAACGCTAACAGTGATTTATGACTAAAAAGCGGTTCCCTACCGACGAACATTGCAGGGTGTAAAGGTATATGTTGTCGGTAGGGTAATGGAAAGTGTTGTTTTCTTAGAGTTTCTAAGTGTTTGCACTGGATTAACATGTGAAGGACTGCTAATGCTTCACCACATCTGTCACACAATGGTGGATCGTCACCAGACAAAAGATAAGTGTGTGTCGTGTAAGTGTGTCCTATCCTGAGTCTCGTTAGTATTACCTCTGTATGACGCCATTTCGATACGGGCAGCCAATGACCAAGTTGTGGCTTAATCACGTGTAGTTTGTTTTGTGTGTGTGTATCCCACTTGCTCTGCCAGTATACCCTGAGGTTTCGTTTGAGAGACGGCTTAAGATCAAGGGCCGGGATTGATATGGGTGTAGGGGCAGTGCTTTTGTGGACGGATGCAGCGAGCTGATCCGCCCTCACGTTGCCTTGAATCTCACGGTGCCCTGGCACCCAGCACACTACAACATGTTGTTTGAGTGTGTAGAGTGTGCA